CCCCCCGGGGGGTGATTTCTTGCTTTCTATCTCTCTGTCTCTCTCTGTCTTTCTTGCAAGCACACGTGCCCTATAGCAAAAGCCTCTCCAAAATAATAATAATAATATAATTAAATTAAATTTTAAAATGCTATGTACTAAAGAATATTTCAAAATATATTTATTTAAAAAGTAAGACAAATTATTACCTTGACTCCTAAAATTGTGTGAGGGGATAGAATTAGTAACTGAAGCTGCCATATAATGAAGCTCTGCAGATGATGGACCTTCCAGATGATGACTTCGCTGTTCAGTAATGTTATCAATTGAAGGCTTTTCTCGGGCAGGTAATTCCTGTAGATCATCAGCTTCAATGTCAATCACATTTATGTAAGTGTGTCCAACCTGAGCCGAAATATATAAAATCAAAGAGGGTTACATTCCTTTCACTCTATATGGCCACTCTGCCAGGAAAAAAAAAAAAAGTTTAATTTATATTCTTATTAAGAACAAGGCAGGAAGAGTCTGTATGGGCCTAACTTAGGGAAAACTGCAGGGAGTGCGCATTAATGGTCTTAGCTTGTATATTGAGTATAACACCTAAATCTTTTGACTTTTACTACAAAGTTACACAGACAAGAATTTTTAGCCTCATTTCACCTATACAACTAAATAATGTCTAGACGACCTTAATACACTTTAAGCACAAAGGTATTACTGAAACTACTGAATTAAACACAAACAAAATGGTTACCATAGGCGGTGCTGAAGGTGAAAAAGGTTTCTCTGATATTTCAGTGGAAAGTTTGAGATTTAGATATACATCTGGAGCCAAGAGCTGAGGAACATTCAAAGGTTCATATTCTGAAATTAAGAAAAATCGGAAATATAAAAAGTGTCTATAAATAGCTCTAAATCATTAATTTTGTTAAGTTAGTAACAAATGACATAAAATGTTTTTCTTGAAAATCTTAGTAGAAGCTACATAAGTATAAATAAATTAAAGCAAATTCTTTTCTAGATTAAGGGCAATTTAGAGCAATTAAAAATTGAATGCAGGCTAACTGTTGTTTCCCTATGAATGATTCAAAAGAACAATAAAGTAAATTATGTCAAGGAAACACTGTAATTTTCTATTTCTACTCCTGACATATTAAGTCATGTCTGTGTACTTTGTATTTAGGAGAATTTCAGTAAACCAAGTTTTAGGGGCTGGCAGGTGGCTTGGTGGTTAAGGGCACTGGACTCCTACATGGGTGACCACAGTTGAGTCCTGGACATGGTTGCTTTTTTTTCTGGGACCAGCAGGTGGCATGGTGGTTAAGGTTCTGGACACTTGCACATGGCTGACCACGGTTCGAGTCCCAGACCTGGCAGCTTGCTTTCTCACTCTTTCTCTCTCTCTGTCTCTCCTGGTCAAATGAAAATAAATTAATAAATAAATAAAATTAAATAAATGATTATTTTTTAAAAAAGTGTTAGGAAATTTTTTTTTTGAGAGGTTTTTCGCTATAGGGTGCGTGCGCTCGCCAGACAGAGACAGACAGAGAGACAGAAAGTGAGGAATCACCCCCCCAGGGGGGATGGCCACGCCGCAATCCCTTCTCCTCTATTCTCCTCTCGGGATTTTGGGCACGCATGCACATGCGCCCAGCGT